GTAACTACCCTTAGATTCAAAGTCCGAAGCTCCCAGAGATGACTCCTATGGCGGGTTTCTCTAACGCTCCTGGCTCTCTGCTAACTTTTGTTCAGGGTTTAGCGCCCTAAACCCTAAACCCTAAACCCTAAACCCTAAACCCTAAACCCTAAACCCTAAACCCTAAACCCTAAACCCTAAACCCTAAACCCTAATTAAACCCTAAACCCTAAACCCTAAACCCTAAACCCTAAAAGGGCTTAGGGCTTAGGGTTTAGGGTTCAGCCCATGAGGGTTTTTGGCTTCGTAGGGTTCGGGGTTTAGGGTTCAGTGGTGCCCCGTTTAGTGCGAATAAGCACTTTCTGCTGTGAAGTAGGGTGGTCAGTACTGGTATTTTAAACAGACACCCTACATGTACATACCTACATACATGCACAGTACATAAACATACATATATACTCACCATGCTGCGAGGCCCGAATACATGTAGGGTTCAGGCTTCCGGGATCTAGGAATCTAGGACCGAAACCAAAAAAACCTAAACCCCAAGCTTACATGGGCTTGGGTTCAGGGTTTCGGGAGGAATGAGGGCAGTGCCTTTTTGGAATCACCTCCCAAATGACGAAACAGTGCTTGAGGATTGGCTGTTTAGGTTCAGGGTTTCAGGCTTGATAAAGGTTCCGATGGGTAGTTTCTTTCCACCTTCCGGATTCATAACATTCTCAGGCGCTTCCCAAGACGTGCTCAACAAGATTGGGGATACTGCTTAGGGGCTGAATACCCAAGCCCGAAAAAAGGTTAACCTTCTTTTTGTAACATATATATATACATATATAACGAAAAAAGTTAGAGGTTAACCACCCAGCCCCTAAGGCTAGTAAACCCTAAGCCGTAAACCCTAAAACACTAAACCCTAAACCCTAAACCCTAAACCCTGAACCCTAAACCCTAAACCCTGAACCCTAAACCCAAAACCCTAAACCCTAAACCCCTAACTCTAACAGCCGGGCCGCACCAGTCGCGGAAGCAGCGGGAGATCTCAGAGCCATGCGAAGTGAGCGCCTTTGGGTTTAGGGTTTAGGGTTTAGGGTTTAGGGTTTAGGGTTTAGGGTTTAGGGTTTAGGGTTTAGGGTTTAGGGTTTAGGGTTCAGGGCCTCCGGCCCGCTAGCTCACTGAGGATCCAGGGCACGATGCCTTGGACTTAGGGTTGAGGGTTTCTTTGGGTTAGGGTTTAGGGTTTAGGGTTTAGGGTTTAGGGTTTAGGGTTTAGGGTTTAGGGTTTAGGGTTTAGGGTTTAGGGTTTAGGGTTTAGGGGTAGGGTTTAGGGTTTAGGGTTTAGGGTTTAGGGTTTAGGGTTTAGGGTTTAGGGTTTAGGGTTTAGGGTTTAGGGTTTAGGGTTTAGGGTTTAGGGTTTAGGGTTTAGGGGCCGAGATATCACAACGGAGGCCCGACACAGATTTGGAAAACCGACCATCTCTCCTTTTTAGCAAGCAGACGCCGGGCGGTCGATTTGGGTCTCTGCAGTTCTTGTATGACTACGAAATCCTGCCGGACCGCCTTCAACCCTAAAAACCCTGAAAAAAAACAGGCCAGGTAACCTTAAATCAAAACGCTTTTTTCGATATTTTTGTATATATGAATAATGATAATAATCATAATAATAATAATATCATAATAATAATATGTGTATATATATATATATATATATTATTTATTTATTTATTTTTATTGTTTTTTTTTTTTGGGGGGGGGTTGGGAGGCTGGGATCCCAGTATCAGGAACTTCCTGCATCCACGACATCAGTTTTGGGCACGAGGAAACAGTGCCAAGCGACCCTCCAGCCAAAACCCTGCATCCTCCATACCTACCAGGATGGGCTATTCTACCCTAGAATCCCTTAAAAGGCCCTTTATAGGGTTCATTATGGGGGTTGTAAGGCCTAGTAGCCCATCCTGGTAGGATGAGACCCACTGCAAGCCCAAAAAACTCCTTTTCCCACCAAAGTAGAGTTCATTCAATAAATGAAGCCCCGAAATGGCACTGCTACAATCCCTATTAGGGTCTATGGACTCATGGGCCACAAACCCATTCAATGGTTTTTCGTTTCCAAGGAAAACTCCAAACCTCACAACTCCAAGTACGTGATTTCTGGCTGGGATGAACGATGCAAACAACTGCTGCGCCTGTCATGTTTTGATCAACCCTAAACCCTAAACCCTAAACCCCAAACCCTAAACCCTAAAGCCTAAACCCTAAACCCTACCCATACGAAAATCCTCTAAATCCTGGAAGGGTTGGGATTGGGGTGTTGGGGTTTAGGCTGGAGTGCACAAGGGAAGCAAGTCAGAAGAAGAGAGCTGGAAACTAAACCCTCAACCCCTCAACCTCCTCAACACCCTCGACCCCTCAACCCCTCAAACCTTTGTCCCTAAACCCTAAACCCTGAACCCTGAACCCTAAACCCTAAACCCTAAACCCTAAACCCCAAACCCTAAACCTGTGCATGTCTGGCATGTTGGGAGCTTGCGTGGATTCAATGGGCCATTTCGCCACGCGTCCTGCGAGACCTCCAGCAGCAGGTCAACCTGGGGACTAGGGTTTGTAGGGTTTCGGGTTTAGGGCTTATAGGTTTTCTGGGTTTGGGGTTTAGGGCTAGGGTTTAGGGCTTGTAGGGTTTAGGGGTCAGGGTTTGTGGGGTTTAGGGTTTAGGGATTCTAGGGCTCATAGGGTTTTGGGTTTGCAGGGGTTTAAAAAGTTTAGTTGGGGTTTGTAGGGTTTAGGGTGGAGGGCTTGCCCAGATCAGCCCAACCCCAGGACCTGCGCCCCGCGAAGCGAAGGATGGGTAGGTGTGCGGGGCTATGACAAGTAGGGTTTAGGGTTTAGGGTTTAGGGTTTAGGGTTTAGGATGATGAGGTTGTGAGGGAGCTTGAGCAGCAGATGCATGGTCGTGGTGCGGATCTCGGGCTGCAGCTTCAGCCACGAGCAGAGTCTGAGCTGGATCAAGGTCGGTGCAAACTGCACGAGGTCCTGCCAGGCCTTTAGGGTTTAGGGGGGTTTTAGGATTTAGGGTTTAGGGTTTTAAGATTTAGGGTTTACTGCGCCAGGGCCAAGAGAAGAAATGTCGTCCGGAGCTCATCTGATTTGGCGTGGTCCATATTATTGAGGACGCCCTCCATGGGCTATCTCGCCCGCACAAGGCATGGTGGAAAACATGCTGTTATCTTAGGGTAACATGCTGTTATCTTAGGGTAGTTACATGGTCCTTATATACCCTTTTTTTGCCCAATACAAATTAAGGGCCCATACATCAGAACCCTTTAAGGGAGGTTAGGGACCGTATTAAGGGCCCATGAAACTACCCTTAGATGTTAAAGCTGCTAAGACTCATGCTTCCTAAGGTTTGGGTTTAGGGTTTAGGGTTTGGGGTTTAGGGTTTGGGGTTTGGGGTTTAGGGGTTGAGGGTTTCAGGTTTGGGGTTGCAAAACACCAACCCACCGGATGCTAAGCGTTCCGCAGCTCGCGTCTCAACTCAATTAAGGGATATGAGGAGGGACGCCCTGAAAGGACCCCGAATCTTATTCCCCTGTAGAAACCCAAGACATACATATTATATATATACACACACACCTTATATCGTCCCTATCAACTGAAGCATATGCTCTACGAGTGCAATCCTTTTTCTGGTATGTGGGGATTTCCCGAAATAGGGCAACCCCTTTTATACCCCAAGCAGAAAAGAATTCCCTTAAAGGGACCCCCCAAAAAGCGTACCCCTATTTTCGGAGACCCTCATATGGATGGACCACATGAGCCCTTTCAGGGTTCATGTGGTCCCCATGGTGAGGGCGCCAATGGGGAGGTACAACCTTGGAGGGGTGCAATGCTTCCTCGACTACTTGGGTTGAGTGTTCCCAGCCCAGGGACTCTCCCCTTGGGGAGTAGGGTTTAGGGTTTAGGGTGAGGGGACCGGCTACTATTTCGTGGAAGCCCTTTTTGACTTAGTAAGTAGGATTGGTAAGTTGGATTGTGGGGATTCTTATAGGGTTTCTAGGGGATACGAAGCAGACTTACTAGGTAAAAATGCTTCCACAAGTGCTGGGGGCGCTTCCTCATATGGTATATACTTGCGCCCTGAAGCTACTCTATACCCCAGAACCTTGTGGGACTCGGTTTCTGGAGCTTCGAAGGGCATCCGGCCTACACAGTCAGCACTTGCACCCCACATCTTGTACCACAAGCTTGGAGGCCCTATACCTGAAACCCTAAACCCTAAACCCTAAACCCCAAACCCTAAACCCTAAACCCTCAAACCCTCAAACCCCTAAACCCTCAAACCTCTAACTGCCACCGCGCCAAGCTGCAAAGGTCGGAGGCTGCAGGTGCGGGTAGTGCCCTTTGGCAGCCTCGACCTACGGTGTGGGATGTTTAGGGCTCAGGGGTTCAGAGGTTTAGGGTTTCAGGGTTTAGGGCTTCTAGGCCCTACATCAGAAGTTTGCTGGGCGCCATGAGATTCTAACGGGTAACCTCGCTACCAGTACGAAGCCGTTCAGTACACGGTGCTCAAGCTTGGCTGGCTGGTTCTTAGTAGGGAATGAGGGAATGAGGTACCCTAAACCCCAAACCCTAAACCCCAAACCCTAAACCCTAAACCCCAAAACCTATAGGGTATATATATATATATATACATATATATATATATACATATATATATATACATATGTGGCCCTATGTGGCCCTACGTCCCTGATTCCCTCCGAAGAACCAAAAGAGGGTTGGGTTCTGGGTGACTGTATATACCTACGTGGGACAAACTCGGCCCAATACTTCAGGCACTGTTTAAGGCTCAGAGACAGCTAAAAAAGGGGGGGAATACATATACATATTTACATATATATATATATATATATATATAGGCAAAGAGACAGCTAAAAAAGGGGGATACATATATATATATATATATATATATATATATATACAGGCTTCAGAGCTCCGGGAGTATTGGGTTGGATTAGGGTTGGGGGGCTGACAGGTGCTCCAGCTCTTCTTTGGGGTGTTTAGGGCTTAGGGTCTTTCACAGGGCTTGTGTCATTCAACTTTCGTGCCTTGTAGTTTCCCCCGTGCTCCAAGAAAGGGACCCCGTCATGCTCTCGGCCCTGATTTCAAGAAAGACCTAAGTCTACCCAAGCATGTCTGCTTCTGTCAAACCGGTGCCCCGCGAGGACAGCTTGAGAGGCATGCGCTTTAGGCATTAGTTTCGGGTTAGGGTTTAGGGTTTAGGGTTTAGGGTTTAGGGTTTAGGGTTTAGGGTTTAGGGTTTAGGGTTTAGGGTTTAGGGTTTAGGGTTTAGGGTTTAGGGTTTAGTTGGGGTTTGGGGTTTAGGGTTTTGGGTTGTCAGGCGTTCAGGGTTTCGGGGCTTAGCAGCTTGACAAGGGCGCCGGGGTGCCTCAGTCGGGGGCACCCTCGCACGAAAAAGATGGAATCCGATAACCCCATAACGCTATTTGCTCAAGACGCCCCCCCCCCCCCCCCCCCCCCCCAACAAAATAACAAATAACTGAATAACCAAAAGATAATAATCCCTATATTACCCTTACAAGGAAGATTATTCTTGATTTTAGATAACTACCACACGCCTACCCAGCACATGGTCCCAACAAAGCCTTGTTTTGGTCTTGTTTGAGGCAATCGACGTCCCGGTCTTAGCCCCTTAACCCTCGCGACCCTAAACCCACACGCCTAAACCCTAAAGCCTAAAGCCGAAACCCCCTAAAAAGCAACTCCAATTGAACAAAACCTCGTGGAAGCCTCCAACTTCAGCACGGCTTGAGGAGGGTTTTGTACAGGTGCCTTAATGGTTAGGTCGCCAACTTGTGGGTCTAAGTTCAGGGATCAGGGTTTAGGGTTTAGGGCCTAAGGTTTAGGGTTAGTCCAAGGTTGAGGGTTGAGGGTTACTGTAGTGTATTTCTGATAGGGACCACAAGGGAGTACTACGAGTAATGATTAGGACCCCCTGTATTCGGTGGTGGTTAAAAACCCTAAACCTAACCCCTAAACCCTAAACCTGCTGCAGCCATCGTGGCGATCTCATCAAGATAGAACCAATGGGCCTGCTTGGGCTTAGTGGGTGTATCTTATTTAGGCTGGCGGTCTCTGTATCTGTTGCTGTACACCTTAGTAGAGCCCCCCCTATATACCCCTAACAAGAACCCTATGTATCCCCTTGGCTTATAAAACAGAAACCCTGCTAAAGGGACCACCAACCTACAGAAGGTGTATCTGGCCCAACCAGAGTTGCTTAGTAGGATTTAAGGGGTGCAAGGAGGGACCCCTAAAAAGGACCCTTGGACCTTGAACCCCAAACCCCAGAAAAAGCCTACCGCCTGAAACCCAAACCCCAAACCCCAAACCCCAAACGCGCCAAACCCCAAACCCTAAACCCTGAACCCGAAACCGGCTTAGGATGTGGAGCGCGCTGGTTCAAGATACCTATTACTGTTGTGCTGAAAGGCCCCCGAAACCCGACAGCCTAAACCCTAAACCCTAAACCCGAAACCCCAAACCCCCAAATCCCTTAACCCCAACCCTAAACCCTAAACCCTAAACCCTAATCCTGAAGGGCAACAGCAGGATGGGAACTGCAGGGCTTGGGCTCAATGTGGCACCATTGGTCTCAGTTGGGGTTTAGGGTTTTAGGGTTTTAGGGTTTTAGGGTTTAGGGTTTAAGGGTTGAGGGTTGAGGGTTGAGGGTTGAGGGTTTAGGGTCTAGGGTTCAGGGTTGAGGGTTTAGGGTTTAGGGTTAACTAGATGGAGCTCTGTAGGCTTTTTCGGCTTTGGGATATTGGGGGTGTGAGCCCACCCCTGAACAGCACCCCACGTGGCATACATCGCAGGTAGATATGACATTTGCCCCACTTCCCAGACAAGCTTCAACCCTGAACCGGTTGGGGACACCGAACCCCAAGCCCTAACCACAAACCCTATATGGGTAGTTCATGGTAGTTCTCTTCATTCGAGTCCCCTTTCGGTCCGAGATAATTCAAAGAAGGACTCCTAAAAAGGGACCCTGATTTAGAGAAACTGCCCATGTCTGTTTTCTGCAGAGCCGCCTGCGGAGCCTACTAGAACCTCCCTGGCGACTCTGTTCGATGGTGGAAGTTGCGGGAATAAGATTAAGGGTCCCTTCTAGTGGGTCCCTCCTTTTACCTCTTCATAGACCATCGTGCAAAGCTTCACCAGGAGCGCCTTCCCTTCAAGGAAGCCGAGAGCGTAGCTGCGGGGTAAAAGACCTCTGAATTATGGGCCCCTTTCGAGTTCTTCTAATTGTACTACCCCCAAACCCTAAACCCTAAACCCTATCCCTAAACCCTAAACCCTAAACCCCAAACCCTTGCAGGTTAGGGTGCCCATAGTTTGGATGAGCCCTCGCCTGAGCTGCGCTTGCTCCAAGGCTCGAGGCCGGGCCCCCTGACCGGTCGGTCAGGGGGCTCCGTGTAGTTGGGGGGCGCCTAACTCGTTCTGAGAATTCGGCAACTCGGCACCCTATCTAGTCCCTTAATACCCTAAACCTTAAACCCTATAAGGGCAAGGAAACGAGGAAATAGAAGGTGCCGAGTTCCCAAATCCCCTAGTGAGACGAGCTAGCCGGTGGAACTGTACAATCGCCGTGGTCGAAACCCCGTGCCTATCCCCGCATCACAACGAACCCTAAACCCCCAAACCCCAAACCCGCGCATGAGCCCCGAATCGGCCCCCAAAGGGCAGAGAAACCTCGAACCCTCTCAAAGGAGTCTGGTAAGGATTCTCGACGCCGGCTCATTGCGAAACTAGGTGCCAGAGCAAGGAAAAGGGAAACAAACGAGCCCACTCTGGGTCCTAGCATAAGATCCTGGTAGCCCAGTAACCATATTCTACTCAGGGCAGCCAATTTTATGGGTTGGTTACTTTATAAAGGAACCTTGAGCCCCAATAAAGGGAAAATAGGGTACCACTGGGCTGCCAAGAGATAAGTAGTGTTCGAGCTACAAACAGCGCTCCGCACTCGCAGGTCAGAGCGGTCGCTCCGACCAAGAAGACCTGGTTGGCAAAGGAGGTTTAGGGTTTAGGGTTTAGGGTTAGGGTTTAGGGTTTAGGGTTTAGGGTTTAGGGTTTAGGGTTTAGGGTTTAGGGTTTAGGGTTTAGGGTTTAGGGTTTAGGGTTTAGGGTTTAGGGTTTAGGGTTTAGGGTTTAGTTGGGTCCAGGGTTTAGAAGTCTAGGGTTTAGGGTTTAGGGTGCCCTAGGTACTTTCATGAAAACCTGAACCCTGGGATGTTCCCCCTTATACTGACAGTCCTTAATCGTATAGTATGCCCCCTTGTTAGTGTAAGAGGGAACCTTCCAAGGGTCCAGGGTTTAGAGGTCAGGGTTCTCTGGGTACTTTCATGACAACCCACACCCCAGAAGGAAAATCCTTCCACGGAATATAAACAGGGTTTAAGGTGCAGGATTTGCATGGTGTTGAATATTGGCACCTGTTGGGGCTCCTGCGCTATCTTGAGGTTCTTCGTGCTGAGGGGGGGGGGGGGGGGGGCAGGGGGTCTCCGGCCAACTCCTTGTCCATTTGAGTGCAAAGCACCTATAGGTACTGATCTCTGACGTCTCTGACGCAGAGAACGGAGATGATCTCTGCTATTGCAGGGCAGGGGCAAGATCGAAAGGAAAATTTACCCACACCAACCCCTTTACACCCCAAAACCCTAACTTCTAGACCCGAACCCGAATCCTAAACCCTAAACCCTAAACCCTAAACCCTAAGCCTTAAGTCCTGCACCCTGTGGTTGCTGGGGACGCGGTCGCCGCAAAGGCAGTGCCAAATTCAGCAACACTCCGGAAGAGACAGAAACCTTAAACAGGCTGTAAAGGGTTGAGGGTTTAGGGTTTCGGGTTTCGGGCTTATAGAGGTTCAGCAAGAGCACAATGAATCTGTTTCTTGCCTGGGCTGGCTGGTGACCACAAACATGACCAAGTGTTTAAGGTACAGGGTGTAGAGAGGTCAGAATGAAGTTGCGGATGTAGAGCTTAAGGTTAGGGTTTAGGGTTTAGGGTTTGGGGTTGGGGGTTTAGGGCTTAGTTCGGTCCCGACAATGCCCCCTCAGCGCAAGATATGTGTCCTCAGGTTTAGATGCGCAGGTTGGTCCCCGTCATCTCAACAAGACTCCGAAAGAACCCTCCACTCGGGCGCCGCCGGGCAGCCTTATAAACCCTAAACCCTAAACCCTAAACCCTAAACCCTAAACCCTAAACCCTAAACCCTGAAAAGCTCCAGACAGTCTGGGTACAGCCTCTATTATCGTTGCCGCATGAACTTTGCCTTGGGGTCCTTCTCAGGTTCATGTCGGCCACTCACCCCTAAACCCTAAACCCTAAGCTCTAACCCTAAACCCTAAACCCTGAACCCTAAACCCGATTTCTCCATCTGTTTCGGAGTGTTCACAACCTCTGGGAAACTGGTATGCGTGGAAAATGACCACATGAGCCTCGGCAGGACATCAACAAGGGAGTGCTTCCAACACCATGCCAAGTCCGTCTTAAACGGTTTAGGGTTTAGGGTATAAGGTTTTGCTTTTAGGGCTTAGGGCTAAGAACAGGCTGCCACAATACATCTCTAGGTGCACCACCCTGACCACCGAAACTTCAGACAAAGTATGACGGTTGCGAGAATCGTTTCGGCAAGTAAGAGCTCTTCCGGATCATTCCTGAAACACGCAAGCCCAAGCGCATGTCTGAGAGACCATTCCCACAACAGGAACCCCTCCAGACCCTAAACTCAAGGCTTAGGCCGCTCCCCTACAGTGGGGGTGCCTAAACCCTAAAAGGAATAGGTTTGGGTGGTTTTGCCGCCTCGGACGGCGTGGGGTGGGAGAGAGGTATTAGATGGCCCTCCCCAATCGGGCCCGAGCTGCTCTTCGCACCTCACGAAGCTTTCGAGCTTGTTGCCAAAGCCTAACCTTCACAGCATCTAGCTACGCCCTATTACAGCAAACCCTAGAACCCTAAACCCAGGATGTCCTACCTGGCTCCACCTCCCAGCAATTGGGTCTTAAAACATTACACGGCAGGTCTCTGGCGTGAGGCGCTTCGGACGTAATGGTAGGAGTTTAGGGTTTAAGGTCCAAGATTCACCTATAGTGTTCCTTATTTCTGACTGAAAGCGACTACGAAGTAATCTGCAAGGGAGCAGCCCGAAACGTTTCATTTACAGGGAATTGGGGATCGATCTACGTCACTTGCGATGTCTGTCTTATGGATCGCAATTATGTAATTGATTGCCCTTCCACGTCAAGCACCACGCCCTACACCCTGCATCCGATTGCTTGAGTAGATTCGGCTGTTGGCCGTCAGATCTGCTCTCGTGTACGAGCTTGTCGAGAGTCAACTGAGCAGGCTCCACAACTTGCGGATTCAGGGTCTAAAGCCTGAATTGCTGCTTGCTTGACTATGATCCCTGAATGGCATTGCCTTCATCAACCCCCCCCCCCCCCCCCCCCCGCAAGTAAACCCTAAACCCTAAACTTGAACCATAAACCCTAAACCGTAAACCCTTAGGAAGAGGGAACCTGGGTAAGCTTTGCGGAACCAGGGCTGTTTCTGGCAGCTCAATCAGTACCCTGGGTTCAGGGTTTAGGGTTTCGGGTTTAGGGTACTCAGGGGATCAGTCTTAGGGTTTAGGGCTTCGGGTTCGCGCGTCCAGCTCTCAAACACAACGAAGACTGTTGCCACTCCATTCTGATTACTGTCCTTTGAATTCCTGACTTATGTCCGTTTTCCCTTGGACCGGAGTGTGGGCTTAAATTGCAAGTTGAGTTGGGACCATGACTCGCCATACCGGCCCTGTTGCCTAAATCCGCGTAATTTATCGAAAACATGTCCTAAACCGAACAGACCCTGAACCTGTGCCCTTTGCTGCTTGAAGAGCTTCACAAGGACAAAAAAGAAATCAGGGTCCACTATGGGAAAGCCTTGCTGTTCCAGGAATTCCTAGGAAGTAGCCGAAGTGCAACTTTCGTTAAACCCTAAATCCTAAACCCTCAGCCCTGAACCCAGGATCTTGGTGTTAACAGACGATTGGGGG